ACAATAAAAAAATAGATTTATAAAAAAATAAGTAATTATTAAAAATATTATCAAAAATTTTAAAAATATACAAACCCCATGGAGAGAGCAGAATATCAATTGTAGTTGAGCCATCTAAGAATGTCTCTGGTTCCCAAAGACCCCAGACCTGATGACACAACCAGGTCTTGAGGGACTTCCTAAAGGACAGCAGGGAAGGGGTGAGCCCCACTTCAGGGGGGAGAATGTTCCACAGGGAGGGAGCCACGGCAGAGAAGGCCCACCACCTGGGACTCACCAAATGCAACTCCCTGGCCAATGGAACTCATAGCATACCTTCCGTGCTGGATCTAAGGGGACCGGCTGATAAAATCAGGGAGAGGTGGACTCTCAGATAACCCAGCCCCATGCCATGAAGGGCTTTAAAGGTCAAAACCAGCATCTTGAATTGGACCCAGAAGTAAACAGGCAGCCAATGCAACTTGTGAAGCAGAGGTGTAACGTGCTCTTTTAGGAGCACACATAACTGCCCGCGCTGCCACATTCTGCACCAGCTGAAACTTCCAGATATTCTTCAAGGGCAGTCCCATGTACAGCACATTACAGGAGTCCAATCTGGAGGTGACTAGGGCATGAGTGACTGTGAGCAGAGCAGAGCCTCCCGATCCAAGAAACAATGCAATTGACGCACAACATGAAGCTGTGCAAAGGTCCTCTTCAAGCAGGAGTCGCGAGTCTAGGAGGACCACCAGTTTGCCCACTGGGCCTGACTGCGGCAGTGCCACCCTATCCAGCACCAAAGATGGTATAGTCCCAGAACTGGCAGGACCCCAAAAATTATACAATTGTAGAGAGGCTTATATACCTATAATTACCATTCTATTGGCTTAATGAGTGCAGGTATAGAGAATAGACACAACTTTCAAATTAAATCACAATGATTTACAATTCAGACAAAACAATAGAGCATACCTATAGCATAGGGCCAATTATGTATAATGTTTAAATATATACGATGTATTAAGCTGCCTTATGTTCAAGCTGGTTTCATTTTTTCTCTTCAGTTCTAATGATTGAAGAAATCTGCATTAAAATTATCTACTATTTTCTTGGTAGTAAAATGACAATTAATGGGTTTGCCTGTTATGCTTGGAAGTATTTTCAGATTAATACCACTTTTCATAATAACTGAAGTATTCAGATTATATTTTTCTCTTCTGTAAATTAAAACTGCAATAACAATTTTCAAGGGGCTTTGCACTAGACTATTGGAAGAGTACATGCAGCCCCAGGCCTTGGGCTGTGCACACTTGGTTAATGTGACATTCCTTAATATATTCTGTTCTTTCCAGGATGCCTTTGAATTTTCCTCACAGGTTTGATTCTTCACACGTGTTGAAATTGGGAATTGCCTTTCTAAGAACAAAGTAAAAACTTCAAATGTTTAGTCAAGCATGGAAATTGGCAACCAGTAATACAGTATTATGATTTGGGATTAGAAGAGTCAGAAGTCTGACATACCTACAGAATGATACTTAGTTCTGAAATCATGATGATTAAAGGAAGATAAGTTTTTTAAATTTTTAAATATGGCCTTGTTTGCTTTCTGAGAAGAAATTTAATTATAGGCAGGGTTCATTACACTAAGGTATAATGCGGTTTGATTTTGGTTTAAATACTGGGTAACTGTAGCTATTGTGCGTGGTAAAGCATGGATTATGGCTTAGTGCAATGTATGAACTCATCTGGTTGTGGCTTATTCAACAAACCATGTTTAAAATGTGGCTATATGAACCCAGCCATTATATTTGTCTATATGTTGTAGTGTTCGTGGATTTGTTGGTAGGCATGTTAGCTATTATTCCAATTTGGACTTTCCAATAAATACATGACTAAAAAGTATCTATATATTACTAAAACTCTTGGGTCTGTTTGTCTGTAACCTTTAATTGAATGAAAGTGTATCATAGGACAATAATTTTTTGAACCAAGGTACTGGACCTCAAATAGGCTAACTTACAGAATGCGTCCAAAATCCAATGGGGAACCCAGCAGGAAGTCAAAAGTTGCTCCCGGTCCCACTGCTTTTTTGCCTGCCTTTGGTCTTTCTGTTTCTGTTTAGGTAAGGAGGTATCTCTGAAGTGTGTCTAGTAATCTCTTGAAACTCCTTTTTCTACCCAGTCAGGTGAGGCTCAAATTATCCTGCAAAGACTTACCACCCTGGAGAAGGCTCTAATGAAAGATGGAAGGAAGAGAAGAGGATGACCAGCAGCAAAATGGATGGAGTTAGTTACAGTGGCAATGAGTTAGAAGACCTGAAAGACCAGGTTAGGGACAGATCACCATGGAGAAAATGTGATTGCTAAGAGCTGAAAACGACTTGATGGCACATAATCAGGAGAGGCAAGGATCTCCTTTGTAGCAGATCACTGCACTTTCTTTGAAAGAAAGGGGACTACTACTTATGTCTTGCTCTTATGGTCAGGACAATAAAAATATTTCTAGACAAAATAATCCCACAGTAATTTACAATAATCCTTCTCTATTTAAAAGCTAGGACATACACGTGGTCTGTCTAGGAAAAGGATTCAGAAAATCAACTGTTCACGTGCTTTAGACACATTATCAGACAAGACCTATTTTAACAGTGCAGTGTTTAAAGTTGTTCACAGGTGTCCATTTTCTTTCCAGGTGTAATTTGGAAATATATGCAGCCTATATTGTCCTAAGAGGACAGTATCTGAACAACTGTTCCCATTATCAGCAGGCCTGCTTATCGTTTGAGATTAGCCAGGAGCCTTATTTTCGAAACACGTTGGGTGGAGGGAGTGTGGTGTAGCCACCAATGCCATACTAATTATGGAAGCCTTCCTGTAATATATTTGCCTGATTTTATTTATTACATTCCTATCCTGCCACAATCAAATTGACTTTCAGAGGCTTTAATGATAGAAACAAAACATGCATGGTAGGCTTAAAACATCAAGACTAAATATCAATCATCATAAAAATAACATCTGGAACTAAAGAAAATAAAAATAAAAATTGGGCCCATACTGGTTGGAAGGCTCTCTTGAACAACTTAGTCTTCAGCATCTTCCTGAATACAGCCAGGACTGGTGCCAGCCCACTTCCACAGGAGACTGTTCAAGAGAAGAGGCGCTGCAACTGAGAAGTAGCACCTCTTGACTTCAGCTCCTTAATTTCCCCAGAGTGGAGCACTGGACGTTTTTCTCTAGGTGATCTAACAGGTCAGGCTATTCCTGGTCCTATAGGTATCTAGGTATCAAACCATAATGGGCTTAACAAGTCAAAAACAGCAGTTTAAATTATACTCAGAAGCTAATCAGCAGCCAATGTAGGACCTGTAACATAGGTGTAATATGATTCCAGCGACAAGTAGCAATTAGCACATAGGTTGATGCATTCTGGACTATCTACGGCTTGAGTGGACTTTAAAGGCAGCACTATGTAAAGTGGATTACAGTAGTCTAAACCAGTGTTTCTCAACCTCAGCTTTAAGGTATGTGAACTTCAACTCCCAGAATTCCCCAGCTGGCAAACATCTGAAAGTCACTAAGGTTGAGAAACACTATTCTTAACTATCAGCTCATCCTGTCCTTTAGGAAACAGAAGTGAGCAGCTTAGAAAAAAAAGGCGCCATCTAGCACAGCTGTGACAAACAGACTTGGCTCCACACTATACTAAAAGCAGGGTATGCAGACTGAAGACTGTACTTAGCCTTGTAACAGGTTGGGAGTCACACCTCAAAAAGGACAAAAACTGTATTAAATTTACATCATACATTAATACAGCCAGTTTCATTATTCTTGCTTCATATTAAAAGTTGCAATTGGGTAATAACTTTTAGAAGTCTATAGGGGCCATACATAACCCTGAAGTTTCAAATTCATCAACTTTAAATCATATTGTGATTTGCTTACTGTGCTGTCTAAACCCAAGTCATGAGTCAGACTGGGCTGAGGACTGACACAATGGCTGGGTTCACAAGAAGTACCAACCCCTCCAACTAGAAACCATGTTTTGGTCTGGCTTGTTGTGCAAACCTAGGCAGGAGGGTTAGTTTATAGTTAACTGTGTTGTACAAACCCTGGAAATTGGGTTAAACCATGTTTAAGTTAACCCTGGGCAAGATGTCATGCCACCATATAACCATGGCTTAATTTCAGTTAGCTTATCAACCACATTCCAGTATATCATCTGAAACCAAACTAATCCCGGACTGTGAGATGATATGATTTGCTCCTTCTTTTAAGCATATGCATTTTCTTGTTTCATCCTGGCTGCACAATCTATTCCAACAATAAGCAGCTTAATCACCCGTACTCAAGTGATTACACATTCTCAGGAGGAAAAAAAAAGTCTACCAGGTTGGATAAAACATTGTGAAACAGGCTGAAAACAAGCAGGACAAGCTCCTATTCACCGGTGAGCATCTGTAAATAAGATACAAACGACACAAAAGTCACTTGAGTTTGTAAGTACCAGTGAGCTGCACAGCACTCCCTATGGTTACTTGTTATCATCACCATACATCACAATAACAAAACAGCAAATGAGAACTATCCTTAAAGCCCAAAATACACTAAATCATAAATTAAACATAATGCTTGATACATATAGCCCACTAGACTGAAATGTGGTGGGCTAGTATATGGTTCACTTCTATTGACTAAGACTGTTTTGACAACGGGTACTCAACAAAGCTGAAGAAAAACAAAACCACAGAAAAAATTGATGTATTATCTCTGGAAAAATTCTGAGTTATTATCCAAGACAAGTAAAAGTAGCATGTATTTGTACATAAGGAATTCAATCCAATGGAGTGGCAGTTTACTCACTCTGGGGCAAGCTTTTAGGGATAAAATGGGAATACTGATTTTACACTTCATTTTCAGATTTTGTTTAAAAAATTAAAATGCTACTATATCCAACTATATTGATATATTTATTTTATGCCCTTTAGATTGCAGTTTCATTTAGCAAACACAACTCTGAAATTTACTTTAACTCCTTTTTTTATTGAAGAACTAAGAAAATAAACCGATTCTCATAATCACATATAGTAAAGATGACATGTGAACATGGTTAGAATTTTGGTGGTTGTAACATATTAATAGGAAAACATTGCTATAACTGGAATAAACAAAACCCAATTTTTCCATTGTATACACAGTACAAGTATGGCAAGAGACTCTGATCCAGCCAAATCCTTCAGGTGTGCCAACCTCCTATCTATTTTCAAGCCATCTTCAAGTACTGGAGTTAATCCAACTAAAAGGAGATAAAAGAAAAAAATAACAGTAAATATTCCTTCTTTGGAGACCACAATTCTACACCTTTTCTTGCTATATTCTAACCCGTGATCACCTGAACCTTTATCATACTTTTCCACCATATTTTTGACAGCCCTTAGAGCCAGGAGAGCGATGAGCAGGTCATGGGCACTGCCAGCCAAGCGGCGGGGGCGGCCCCAACGAAGGGGGTGCCGGCCGGGGAAGAGCGCATGGCTGGGGGCCGCCCGCTCACCTTAATGAAGCCGATGTCCTTGGCGTACTGGCGAGAGCCCTGCCGGCACATGTAGAGGCCGTACTTGCGGTTCAGCCCGTGACGGTTGGAGCACACGCGGCTGCGGAAGGAGAGAAC